ATAAAAAAGCTTAACTGTCTTAGCTGAGCTGAACATCTCTGCAAGGTCTCAGTATTTCTCTGATATCTGAAGCTCAGTTTCTATAACTGCAAGGTTCTCAGACACTTGTAAAGTCATTATATAGATAAGCTTGTCTTCTCTAATCAACTCTGCAGTATTAACTGATTCTATCTCTGTGAATGAGTCTGTCAACACTGATTGAAAGTATAAATCTGACTCACAGACAGCTATGTGCAGATTGTGTCTTTGAAGTTATACAAGTCTTAAATACATATTATCTGTGATGTTCATAATAATCACAGTTTTTATAAATCTTCTTCAGATTTCAGAGAGATCTTGCAATTCAAAGATGACTCTTATAAGTCTCTCAGCTCTCAGGTCTGAGTTCTCATGCTCTGCTTATTATAACAGCAGATTCTCAGTTTTCATCTTTCAGCTCATTTACTCTGTGAGCTTTAGAGACATCACAGTGATCTGAGATTCTGAGTTTATTAATACTTTTCATACTTGCAGAGCAGTAGCACTGCAGTGCAGTCTCTTTCTGTAAGTAAGCATTTTTATCAGAGAAGTAACAGATTCAGATATCAGCTTCAAGACTCTTAAGAAGGCTGTTGCTGACTCTGTTCATGACTCTTCAAATTTCTATTTTAATTTGTTTAAACAGTTTGCACAGAGATATTCTGATTTAGAATAGATAAAGCAGAGTTTCTTTTTCTTGATCTCTCTGTTATATACTCTGTTTATAGAAGCTTATAAAGCTCTCTCTCTCTACTCAGCAGTCAGATACAAATCTCTCTGTGTCTTATTATCTTTTTCTAACAAATCTGTTCTCTGTTGTTCTGACTCTTACAGAGTCAGTTGATAATCTGCTCTCTACAGATCTGTGACTCTCACAGTGATCTGTAAGTGATGAATAAGAGTCATCAGTTTCTTCAGAATCAAGAGCTTAGAGTCTTGCTCAATGAGCTTGTTCTGTATATCTTTATTCAGCTTCTTCATAAATATCATCATTCAGGTCTTGTTTCAGAGCTCTGTTTTCACAGGTCTTAATTTGCATCACAATTTCATGAAGCACTGTGAGTAGTCTTTATCAGATTTCTCATCTCTTTTTCTAATATTAATGATTGTGACTCAGATATTCTCTGTTTAACTCATGAAGTTTCTTAACTTATTCTCTAGATAGGTCTTGAGAACAGATTAGCAGAATCTCTCATAATTATTCTCTAGATAATTCAGCCAGTTCTTGACTTCAGTGTAATAGAGATCTGTCATTATATAAATAACAGCTTCTTCATCTTTCATATCACACAGTCAGACTTGTGAGTCAATTTCAAATACAAACTTACAAAAGCTTTTATAGATTGTAGTTCAATAAGTGATTCTAAGTGATCACAGCTTAAGAAAGTTTCTTTTCAGTTTATAAGTATCTCTGAAGATTATGTCTAGAGACTCAGTTTGAGAGTGTTTGCAGACAGTAAGCATTTCTTGTAGAAAAATAGCTTGATTCTGTGAAAGATGCTCAAGAATGTTCTTCACTAAGATTGATTTATTCATGAGTTCAAAGAGTTTCTCTGTCTGAGATGCAGAGAATGATGTTCTGTAAGTGATTGATAAGTTCTCTGAGACTTCTTTTATAGAGATTATTCATGATTTAAGTGACTGCTTCTGAGTGTCTGCAGTAGAGTTCACAGAGATGAGAGTATGTAAGTTTCTAGTTCTTTCAGTTATAACAGGTGATTACTGACTGACTGAGCTTGAAATGTAAGAATAAGTACTTACAGACAATTATTCAGGTGTTTGCAGCTTGATGTGATATATACTGTTAACTACTAGAAGTATTCATGATAGAAAGATAAAATGTAGAGATTAAATGTATAATAGTATTCAAGCTGAGTTACAAATAGTATTCGCGAACTTCAGTCTATATAGTTGTGTGTAGCCAAGGGCCGCTAGCCCTATTGATTACGCGAGAGATAGAAATAGAGGTAAAGAATCCGTGAGAAGCGGGATTTCTTACAGATATGAGATTTCATTCTGTTTACAAAGAATCATACTCATCATTGTTTGAAAGATGACAGGTACATTTATCAGATTGAATGATATTATCAGAAATTCAAACTTTCTTCATTATGTATTAAATGCAGTTTATAATACTGATAGTTTATCTACATGAATCTGTCAGTATTCTGAGAGAAGATTAATTCTTGATAGATATCAGACATTTTTAACTGTATTTAACTGTTATTGAATCTGTGATAGTGAATATTCATTCTTGATTATAAGCTTGTTAAGTGCTTGATAATTAATACACATCTGTCACTCTTCATCTGTCTTTTTCATGAATATAACTGAAAAGCCTTACACACTTGATGAGAGTTATATAAGATCATATTCTAGAAGGTCTGTGATCTGATGCTTCTATTCTTTGAGATGTATTTGTGACAGAGAGTATGCATTCTGATTGACTGGTTTCATATTCTCTGTGTCAATCTTATGTATGAATCCTTGTTCTGACAGCAATTCTGATGAAAGATCTGTTTGAAAGATCTTTTTATACTTCTTCAGAAGCTTCTTTATATACTTGTTCTTCTATATATTCTTTATCTTGATTTTCTTCACTTCTGAGTTCTGTATAATATACAGAATGCTTTCAGATGAGATCTTGTGAATTATTCTCTTTACTTGTTAATGTGTAAGCAGATTTAATTCTTCTATATCAGAGATATGAAATGTTCTTCTCATATCAGTTGATAGAATTGTATGAACTGTTTTCTTCTTATCAGTCAATTACATATGACATGTACATCATTGAATCTGTGAATTGAATCTTTGAAATCAATTAAGTCTGAGAATAAGATTGTATTTCATGTTCTGCAGCTTTTATACTCAAATATAGTAAGATTATTCTCTGAAGTGCAAGAAAACTCTTACTCTTGTAGATAATATTAAATATCAGTTATCAGATAATCTTATATATTAAGAATTCTTCACTCAGTGAATCTCTTTCAGTCTTCAGATTATATAATTATTAATATATTATATAAAAGCTTCTGTGTCTGCTAATACTTTTACAGTCATCTCTCAATTCTTACTCAAGTACTCTTTATACATTAACATTTCAAATCTCAAGACATTAAGATGAGTGTCTGCTTTATTATTCTTACCTGCATCTCATTCACAAGGCTGCTTTCTCTTGATATTCACAGAATTCAGAGAGTCATCTAACATAGATATCTCTTTCACTTTGAAGACTTTTTATAGAATATCAGTGAGTGTCTCTGAGCTTACTAATTCTGCTAGTTTTTTAACTCTCTTACTTCTCTTAACTGCACACACTGTGTGTAATCTTTTATATCATGATTTTAATATCTGTAGTTGAAGCAAGCTCAATGCTTGTAATATCAAGATTTTTACTCAGAGAATCTCTTTTTCAGAGAATTCAGCACTTTAGTAATAACATTTAAATCTAGATTTATTATATTCAGATGTGTGACTTGTATTGTAGAAGTCTGATTATTTATTCTCTATTAAAATATACTCAATTGCAGTATTTTCTGTTATAATTGACTTGCTTATTCTCATATAATAAGAATATTATACACTTTCTTCACTGTGTCTGATTATAAGGTTAAGCATTTTCATTTCACTCTTAACTCAGATGAAAGATTATAAATGAAGATCTATAAATAGAAAAATGTTAAAAGCTCTTCATTTAATACAAGATAGTATAAGCTGAAGTATGTGAAGTATGATGTAAGATTATTCACTTATCTATACTCAGTGAAGTGTTTGTAATGCTTGTCTTATATATTCACTTTCTCAAAGTTATACAAGATTCATTTGAAAAACTCATTCTATGTTTATAAGAATGACTATTATTTCAGATCTGTGAGATTTATCTGTTTATTAGTTATTCACAATAACTTCACTTTTTCATGTAGAAATGTAACAGATCTTAAGACTTGTTAAAATTTTATTAACTATCTGTCTGTAAGTTTATATTCAATCTGATAATATAATTGCATCTGACTTAGCCAGCTGATTGCAGCATTATTTTTTCAGTCACTATTAAAGTTTAATGACTCTGACAGATTTCTCAGCTTAATGTATCTTATGTTCAGATTCTTATTCTGCACAGTGATCTCTGATGATGTATACACTTTTAAAGAGATTGTGAACAATCATGATAAGATCTTCAGATTCAGTGTAGTCATCTATCTGTATAAATATTCTATCTCTCACTACAGATCTAAGACCTGGTTTTCTCTATTCTTATTAATGATGATGATTGTATCAGTGAAGCTCTTCATAGTGAATACTTGATTTACAGTGAATGTTAATTGTTGTTTAACTTCTATCTCAGTCTATCACTGTGTACACAAGGCCTTGGTTTAATTTAGAATTCTTGTATATGTATGAAGCTTTGATTCTGATTCAATAATCTTGATTACTTTTCTTACTACTTTGAGTAAACTCTCTAAGAGGTTCTGCATATCTTCTGATTCAGATAGCAGAGAAGAGTGTTGTTTATATTAACTAGAAAAGATATTCATTTCAGTGATTTCTCATTGATTGTACAATGTCTATTATTATATCACTATATTATTATATTGCTATATTATTATATCACTATATTATTATATAATTTCTGTTATTATTGTATAACTTCAGTGATAGCTATCTCTCTTTTATTCTTCTAAGTAGAGAGTGATCTTCTTTGAATCTGATTCACTACTTCTCTCTCTTTTCTCACATTTTATCTATTCACATATGTGGCATTTATCTGAGTATAAAGTTTTTCTTCAATAAGCAGAGCAGTATCAATCACATACTCTTCTACTTATCACTTCTTCATACACTATCTTTTGAGATGTTTTAGAATCACACTGACATGATAACTATGAATTGCTTCATAGACAGAATTATCATGCTCTGAAGAAGCCTGCACTTCTCACTAGTTTTTAAACATGCTATCAGATATGATTCAAAGATTGCTTGAGTCAGCATACAATTACAGGCATACGCCCGCTGATCACAAGCCAAAACCGCTCCACCACGAACTCGCTCGATTTTTCGAATAAGAACCCGCCGATAGATCCATTGAAAAGCCCTCGATCATACGAGCATTCTGACCCCATCGCCGACCGCATACCCTGTGTGGTGGTGGAGTTATCCAGCCAAATGTGAACTGGATGTTGTTCGAAACTCCTGTGTGGGATTATCCCCCGTTCTCCCCTACCACACCACAACCCCGGGCCAGAGTGCCATACAAATTGTAAGGTGAAGTGACCTAGCCATATGCACCAATCTTCTTGATTTTGGAAGATCCCCGACCTGTAGTTGTGGAGATATCTGAGGAGTGACCTCCGCGAAAACCCTGTCCATCTTTGATGTTCCAAAACATCAATGCCAAGTCTCACCCTCGTACCGCCCTTCTCAATCTGGCCCATCCCCGGCAGAAAAATACAAAAAGATACCTCAGTGATAATATCAAGTATATAATCAATGAACTCTTCTGAAGTGCAATCTTCACAGTCTGTCACCAGTGTATCTAGACTTCAACACCAAGTCTCACCCTTGTACTACTTCTCTCAATCTGGCTCATCTCTGATAGAATGATACAAAAAGATATCTCAGCAACAGCATTCAATACATAATCAGTGAACAATGAGTCAACAGCATATCAACAACTATAAAATCAGTATATCTCAAGATCTGACTGAGCCTTTGATCTCTGTACAGTGAGATATATTAAATCTAGTTTTAATATCTCAATATTCAATAGATTCTGCAAGGGATTGAGAACAGCAACACTAGATTTCTATTGAATTTGAGAATTAACTCTATATTGATATAATCATTGACAAAGTTTTCTATTTTGAGATATAAATAATCAGTTTCTCTACATCTCACTGACAATATTTATATTATTATATAGAAACAGACTTATATTCTCTATAATATCAAGACTCTGAAGAGAGAAAGTCTTGATAGAAGATATACAGTAGTGTATATCTTAGCAGTTTCTATCTCATTCTTCTGCAGCAGTTAATACAAAAAAAAGATCTTAGAAATAGTTTTTTACTTCTCTTGAAAAAGTAAGGTGTTTTTCTCTGAGTTTTATACAATATTCTTACAAAGAATTAAAAACAGAGTTGTTTTCTGTCATAATTTCATATTTTTTTAAGTAAGAATTACTTTTTCAGTGGCTGAAGAGCTTTCATTAATACTTAATTCTTTTTTACACTCTTTATTAACTGATTTGAGTTGCACACTTGTTGTGTGAGAAGAATTGAATAATTCAGAATAAAATTGAATAGTTTTAATCAATTTCTCTGCAAAAAATTGATTTATTTTTTGTCAGTTTTTCTCTCAAAAACTGTCATATTATCTGATTTACTATCAATTGATATCATACTTTTCCTCACTGTATCCCAAGAAAGAGATTGTAAAGATTTTATTGATTTATCTTAAAAATCAATTTTAGTTCATTAGATTCTCTTTAAAAATCTAACCTAGTTACTGAACTAGTGTGAAAAAAATCAGGTGTTTTATACACAAAACTCTGCTATTCTTCTTTTGAAATAGTCTGATCAACTTTTCAATTGAAAACAGACTTAGAAACCTCTTAATTGAAACAGTCTGACCAACTTTTCAATTCAAAAGAGTTTAATAAATATCTCAATTGAATTAGTCTGACCAACTTTTCATTGAGTAAGAATAATGAGTTCAAAAGTACACTCAGTTGATGTGGAAAAAGATGCTTTCTCAAATGCTATTCCTGAGATTGAAATTCTGAAGAGAAGAAAGAAAGAAGAAATAGAGAAATAACAAGTTCTTGAAATACAGAAACTTGAAAAAGCAAGTAAAATTCTTGAAAAGCAGTATCTGAGTGAGATGAATGAAGAAGTTCTGTTAATTCTTCATACTCAGACTAGACAACTACAGGAAGTGATCAAGTTCAAACTTGGAATTTCAAACTCAGTTTAAAAAACTTTGAAAATTTCTAATATAATCACTGACTCTTCAGTTTGCTCTTCTTTCTTTTCTACTTCTTCTTCTTCTTCTTCTTTAAATCAGAAGAAAATATATACTCAAGCAGCTGAATCTGCTGCCTCTAAACCTGCTATCTCAAAACCTGCTCAAAATTCTGAGAAAACTGAGAAGAATACTGCTCATACTTCTAGTAATAGAAGAGTGAAGAAAAAAATGCAAAAAGAGAAAAATCTTCAAATCTCCAGAAATAGAAGACTTATTCTCAAAGTCTCAAATCAGAACATATTGCAGAGAAATAAGCTAAACTCAAACCTCATTTTCAGAATTAGAAATGAAATCAATCAGCAGTTCTTTTCTCAGTTAATGACTGATATTGAAGTTCAAAAACCAGTTATAGCTTCAATTGAGTCATTCTTCTTTGAAAACTCCATCATTCTGATCACAATGCCTGAATTCAGTACAGAATTCCTTATTCAGAATGAGAATCTCTGAAAATCAGCAGTAGAATCTCTGTTAAACACAATAATTCTATCTGAGAGAGATGAAAAGTGAGACAAATTCATTCTTCATGATATTTCAGTTGAAATTTTTGACTGTGAAGAAGGAATACTACTTCTCAAAAATAAATTAGAAGAATACAACTCTATTCAACTGAGAAAAGAGCCTGTATGACTAAATTCAATTGAGTTCAGACAAAGCAGAAGAAATGCCTCTGTTCTAGTATATATAAAGACAATTGAACAGTCAAAGATCTCTGAAGTAAGAGTAGCAGGTTTGAAAATGAGAGTTCATGAATACAAAGACTCAAGAATGAATCTCAAAGCTCAAACACAGTATTCAAACTGTCAAAGATATGAACACTTTGCAATCTCATATTTTAGAGACTCAAAATGTGCATTCTGTGCCAGAGATCATAAAACTAGTGAGCATAAATGTGAAACATGCTCAAAAAGAGGTGAAATTTGTTAATATACTCTGCTTAAGTGCTCTAATGGCAAAGAAAAACATGCATCTAGCTCAAAAGAATGTATGTTTGCTTCAAGAACTCAAAAGAACTGAAGAAAAGATGAAGCTCAGAGTAAATCTAGAACTGAAGAGAATAGTCAAGCCAGTAAACTCATAACTGTAAACTCAAAAAGAAGAAACTCTCAACTATCTAAGTCTTCAAACTTCAATTCTCCAGCTAAATGTAAACAGAATTTGAATTCTTAAACTTCTGTTAAGATTAGAGAATTGAGAAATGACTCTGATGATAAACTAGATGTAATACAAGCAGTTGAGATTCCTACTTTTCAGAACAGTTATAATCTATTATCTGATGATAGTGATTAGATTCTACTCTACTCTCTTTTAGTATGAATATACAATAAAAACAACAAAAAAAGTTTAAAAACTCTTCAAAAATCACATTTATTCAAAATAATGTGAATAGAAACTCAAATTGCATTTATTCTTGTCTTCAAATTACATTTGAATAAAAAGTTGATTTTGTACTGCTTCAGAAGCCGAATTTTGATGCTGAGCAAAAATATGTCATTTCTCATTCAAGCTACTACTGCTTTTTACCTCAAAAGTCTGAGATAAAGTCAAGAGTAGTGATCTATGAAAGAAAGAGATCAAGATATCAATTTAATCTAAGATTTAATATCATGTCTGATCCTGATATTCTGGTGAGTGACATTATAGATAAAGAAAATGAGTTTGATACTATACAGCTCATAAATATCTATAATGAAAAGTCATTGAAGAAATATAACAATATCTGAACAATTGATAGAGGATTTCTGAACATAACTTCATCAAGAAACTCTATAATTGCAGAAGACTTCAATGCACATTATCTCTGATGAAATTCAGAATGCAAGAGAGCAGTGAGAGCTGATAATCTGATTGAATAAATCTTTGAGCATTCAATAGATTTGATTAATAAGTCTGATCAATAAACATTCTTTAGAAAAGGCATGAAACAGAAGTCTATTATAGATCTAATCTTCATGTCACAAAATCTAATGGAAAGAAGACTTGTAAACTGATTTATTGATTCAAATGAAACATCAGAATCAGGTCATGAGATTATTCAATTTGATATTGAACTGAGTGAAAAATAAATGAGTGAAAATCCTCTTCTCTCTAATCAGTATAACTTTGAAAAAGCTGATTAGAAAGCAGTTGAAGAAAGCATAAAACTGTTAAAATCTGAGAGACAGAATGAGCTATATTGAAATTCTGGTCAAGATATCTCAAATGAAATGCTTGAGAATAGAGTGAAGCTTATTACATCTATTATTCTAACAAGTGTTAGAGATAATATTCTAAAGAGAAAATCTTCTGAGTATTCAAAATCTTGATGAAATGAGAATATCTCATCTAAAAGGAAAGAATTAGCTACTGCTAGAAGAGATTGAAAGAATAATGTAATATCTGATAAAGAGTTCAAAGCTGTCAGAAATGAATATTTTTCAGATATTAAAAGAGCTAAAACAGACTGCTGGAATAAATTTCTTGAAGAAGCACAAGAGAAGGAAGTTTTTAAAGCTTTTAACTATACTAAAACAAGAAGTGTAGCAAAACTTTCAGTCTTAGAATATGAGTTTCAGAATGAATCATATACAGCAAACTCTTTTGATGAAAAATGTCAAGCTTTTATGAGAATTCTCTTTCAGAACTCATCAGATTCAGATTCAGAGAAAGAGAAAGAGAATATATCACTTCTCAACTACATTAATGAAAATGACTGAGAATGATCTGATCTTACATAAGATGAATTACAGTCAGCTATCTTCTCAAGTTCTGTTAAAACTGCTACAGATCCTGATTCAATTAATCACTTAATTATTCAAAATACATATTCCTACTTAAAGAATGAATATTTTGAGCTCTTTTTCAATCTCTTGAAAAATGGATATCATTCTGAATGCTGAAGAGAAGCCACTGGAGTGATTCTTACAAAACCTAATAGAAAAACTTCAATTCCTAAGTTATATAGAGAAATATCTCTATTGAACTGTGTAGAAAAGATTTTAGAAAAAATAATAGCTACTCAACTATCTTTTATAAGCTCTATAGATGATTCTCTTTTATTCAGTGAATAAATGAGAGATAGAAAATAGTGTTCTGCAATTGACACTGTTCTCTCAGTTGTTCATAATATTCAAATAGCAAAGTATGAGAGTCTGGTCTCAACTGCAGTTTTTATTGATATAAAAGAATCATTTGATCATGTTTCAAAGTCAAAGTTAATTCAGACATTGAAGATATTAAAACTGCTACTTTCTCTAATAAAATGAGTTAACTGTTTTATATCTAAAAGAAGTATATAACTCTTCTTTGATGAAATGAAATAAGACAAGACTGAGATAAAAATAGAAGTATCACAGAGATCTTCAATCTCACTCATTTTATTTGAAATATACACTGCATATTTATTCAAAAATAGAAATATGAGAATAGTGCA